CCCCACCTCCCAGAGCACATGTATAACAGCCCTTTATCACTAAGTATCTCTTCTAAGCAACTGACCCAATTCAATTTGAACTGATCTTTGTGCCTAGTTTTTTTAAGGTGATTTTCTTTCACGTGTTGTGGAACTGATCAATATAATCCCAGATCTGCACATCATCAGCAATGATTTCTAGTCTATTCAGAACCTCAAAGATTTGATATATCTTTAGCATACAACAAATCCTATTCTTCTGATAATAGGAATCCTTTCAGGTTGTGTCATAATCTGTGTCTGGTTCTTCAGAGACAGAAAACTGCCCAGTCAAATTATTTGAAGCATAACCCCAAGGCTAAAACTCTCAAAATGTATTGGTCCATATCTAAACAACATGTTTAAATCTGTGAAGAAATTAATATATCAGTAAATATCACTATATACTAGTCAAGAATTATAAAAACAGGATTTGTTATTGTTCGTTTGCTATTGTATGGGCCTTGCTATTGCATGATCGCAGTAGTCCTTTGTATGAATATATTGTATGTACTTTTTAACATTTAGCTATCCGTAACTAATTTTCAAGGAAGGCTGTTGTGCATTCCATATAAAGTTTTACCCTATAGTGATTTTTTTCTGTTATAATCAGAGGGAATTAGTAAAGAAGAATATGATATTTGTGTATAACACAGTAAGTAAAATGAACATAAATTTTAATGCAAATTAGATGTGGGATTTAAATTTTTATTAAAATAAATGCATTTAATGTCAGACAAATAATGAAGTTAAAGCACAAGCAGAGTACCCACGGTTTCTGTTGTACTTAATTGCATATTTCAATTTCTCTCTTAAACTTAGAGTTTCCAAAAGTTTTATTGCTATACTTTATTAGGGTTTTTTTTTTTTTTAAAGAACACAGGCACAGATACATATTCATGCTTTCTGCACTGTATGATCTGATAGACTGTGCGTACTGATTCTCATTTATTCTGCACAGGCTCCATCATCACCTTCCTCACCCATAGCTAATGAACCAAAATATGAGAAGCGCTGGCTAGACACCTTATCAGTTCCTCTCTCGATGGCTCGAATCTCAAGGTACAAAGCTGGAACAGATAAATTAAGGTTTGTAATTTGAAAGGGGAAGAATTACATTTAATAATGGCACCTATTTTTTTTCTATAAAGGTGTTCGATATGTGAGGATTTTTTTGACTTGAGAAACAAAAGTGTTTTAATTCCTATTATAAATCCCACATTGCCTATTTTCTTTTGAGATTTATGAAAGCATAGTGGCTACTGAAGGTAATGTAAAAATGTCAATAAGCATTGTTCCTAATAATGGATTAAGGAAGCATATTTTATCTTGGGGCTTCAGTTGCAACATCAACTAATTTAAAGGTTGAGCTTGATTTTATCTGAGTTCAAATTTCTTTAAAGATTTTTTTTACAGTTCCCTCAGTGTAGTTAAAAACAAAATACTTATGAAAATCTGCTTTTGAATGTTTCTTATAGCCACTCTTCAGATAATAAGAACTTACTGTAATACTGTTAGCACTTTGGTCCATACTATGCCCATAAGGAAACTCATGCTAAGACAGCAAAAAGATTTCATAGTTTCATAGTTTCTAGGGTTGGAAGGGACCTGAGCAGATCATCTAGTCCGACCCCCTGCCATGGCAGGAAAGAGTACTGGGGTCAAGCGACCCCAGCAAGGTGTTCATCTAACCTCCTCTTAAAAACCCCCAGGGTAGGAGCCTGCACCAC